AATGTTTCAATGTGTTTCATATTTTGAACTACAATTTATCAGGTGCTACTGGTGTTACTATTAGGTAGCTTTTTTTGTAAAACGTATTGTTTACAGAAAGCCCCAGTTGTGAATCCTGAGTTTATAAACTTAAAAAAAGTGACACATGCCAAAAAAAAAAAAAAAAATTATAGGACAACTGAATTTTTTTAATGCTCAAATGCAGAACCAAGGATGTTTATGTTAATGCTAGTCTCAAAATATAAACCACATAATTTGACAAAATGCACCCAAGTAGTAGTAGAATACACATTTATGTATCATTATTGAAATTTCAACTTTGGGGGGTTGCTTTAAATTAATGCTTACCTCCTTAACTACAATTTAAACTTCATGAGAGCAAATATTGATTTTTTTTTCTTTTTTATCTTCAATTCATAGTACTTAGCAGAGTCCTGCGCATATTAGCAGGTATTAAGCAAATATTTGTTTAGTGAATACATAGATTAAATGAGTGAGTAAAATACATTGTTGTACTATGCATTTTTGTTTGAAAAATGACAAAACCTATTATGAGCAGCCCTTTAATCCCAGGGAATTCAAACACAACTAATATGCATGTAGTAGTATAAAAATTGAAAACCTTATGAAAAAATTTTTCATAAAGAAAAGTTTCATAAAGAAACATTGAAAAATATATGATTCCTGAGGAAATTTTTCCTACAATTTACTTATAAGTCTCAATTTCAGCCCCTTCAGGAATGTCCACTAAACAATTTTTAGGGGACTTTTACATATTAAAGGTTTATTATCTATAATCATTTCATTTTGTCATTTCTGGTTAATCTTTCTGTTTAAATATTCTTAATGTCATTCCTTAAAGTAATTCCTCTTACACACCTATTACCATGGTGACACCACCACTGTTTTCAACATCAGCGATTACTTTTGTGAGGTACTAACTCTAACATAAAAACATTACATGGTAATATAGATGCATTTTTACATTTTGATGGAAATATATTGTATTTAGGTAAATTTTTACAATTGCTCTTCAAAGAAAAAAACCTAACCCAGCTTTTGAATGGTAATGCAATTTTTTTCTTTCTTGGATTTGTTGTAGAATTAAATATTGTGGCTAATATAATCATATATTATTCAATAGAAGAAGCACCATCGAATCTGTTTTTAAATACATAATTTGCAAAATACACTAAAGCATTGAACACATGTGTAAAATAGTGTAAATTGGTTTAATAACCTTTGTTGCTATTTGTTTTCAGATGCAAGTATGCTCTGAAAAATTGATAGCTGAGCAAAAATAAAATGTTACATAATTAATTTTCTAGTTATAAGGGGAAAACAGACAGACGGAACAAAGTAAGGTCAGAGGGACTGGTGAAGCCATTAGCTTGTATTCATATAGAAATATAACAACAGAAGCAATTTCAATATTTACTCATATACCTTCAACCTGGCAATAAATAAAACATATGTCTTGATGATAGGACCTTCTAAGACCCTCAATCTGAGTATGGTTTAATAGGTTTCTTTCCAACTGCTTTTTATATAGATATTTTTCTACCTACAAGTTTTTTGAAGTTAGAAGTTGATATTCATTGTATTCATTTGCCACTTAGAATATTGAAGGTTATAGATAGTGAAATATGCTCAGAACCCTATCAATTCCTTTCTATTAATCCTGAATGGATACTTGCAGTAGGGTGTCATGGCTGGAACTAGAGTCATGTGGCCAGCTTGGATTCAGGTTCAATATATTGGAGTGAGAGAAAGTTAGGCAGGTTGGAAACAGGACAGTGAAAAAAGTAGATGTCAGAAGAAAATTTGGAGATGACTACTATTTCACAAAATATCAGAGCCAGCCTTTCCACTAATTGTTTCCTAAGCTAATGACAAGGTTTCTCAGTTTTATAACAGTAACATAAAAGACCAAAAGCTAAATATTCATTGGAAATCAATTACCATGCATTGAAGCATTAAAACTTTCAATTCATCCCACAGGCCACCTTTTTTCTCTTTTTGATAAGGTTTTTTTGTTTTGTTTTGTTTTGTTTTGTTTTTTTGAGACAGGGTTTTGCTCTTGCTGCCCAGGCTTGAATGCAATGGTGTGATCTCTGCGCACTGCAACTTTTACCTCCTGGGTTCAAGAGATTCTCCTGCCTCAGCCTCACAAGTAGCTCAGATTACAGGCATGTGCCACCATGCCCAGCTAATTTTGTATTGTTAGAAGAGATGGGGTTTCTCCAGGTTGGTCAGGCTGTACTCAAACTCTTGACATCAGGTGAACTACCCACCTTGGCCTCCCAAAGTGCTGGGATTGCCATTGTGAGCCATTGCACCTGGCCAATAAATTCTTATTACACCTTTGTTGCTGTAAAATAGAAAGCATTACTGCAATTCAAATTATATATATTTAGGAAGCAATTATATTTTCTGCTTTCCTCCTTCCATGCCTGATTTAATGAGTGGCATCAAAGATTTTCCATAAGGCAAGTCTTATTCTTATTAGTAAATAATAGTTTCCAAATGTTTGATAATTGTTATAATGACACACAGGTTTAATCTACATGTAATTGAATGTTTCTTTAAAAAATAAATTTTAAACATAAAAATAAAATTAGTCATTTGATGCTTTTAGAGATTTTTCTATGAGAGAACAAAATCTGACATTTGAAGCTTACAACCAAAAATACAGCAGTATTACAAACAAAATAAAACAAACTTAAGATATTTGAAAACAAAGTTAAACAGAATTTGAATCTCATACCATGACATGTTACAATTAGTCCTAGAGAGCAAAAATCCAGCCAATATAGGAATTGGATACTTGAGGGCTTTGAAAACACAATTGTTTTTCATCCATTTCTTTTTAAAAGATATTTTGTTCATTTATGTTAAGTCACAATCTCCTTAATAAACCACAGTTATTTTCAAAATCGACTTTTAAAAAAATTTAATAAAATCAAGTGAGAACAGTGTTGTTGTTGTTGTTGTTTTTTCTGCATATAGTCAGAGAAGACAATATGGGAGTTAGAACTTTGGTAAACATAAAACACAACTAATATACTGATGTAGGGGTGGAAAATAATTTACGAAATTAATTTAATAAAATGCTTGCAATATTAACTAACAATTATTAACAAAACAACAATGAAGCTGTCTGTATTTTCATTTAACACCATATTTAAGGCAAATTTTGATTTAATATAAAAATAATATGTGGTAAACTTATCTGACATAAGATACAATAAAAATTAATGTTCACATTGAAGACTACTTATGACAACATCTCTATATGCCTTCTAAATACCTAATTTCTCAATTGTGCTGAGCACAGCTCACTGTGGACTAATAAGATGTCAATCAGAATATCCAGAATATTTCTTAATATAGAGCGAGACATTTCCCCTACCACACCAGGCAAAATAATTTAATGTATTTATTTTCACAAAAGGCTCATACTAACTCCAAACTATAGTTTGTTTTTAAAATTTCTAGTACTAATTCTGATTCTTAAAGATAGCTACCATTGATATTCTAATTTTCATGCTGTTCTTGAAAAGAACAAAATGCTAATCCTGAAAGTTTTACTGTAATTCACCCCTAAAATTTACTTTATGTGGGAAAGTTTCACCATAAAAAAATCGACTATTTATATAGGTCAAGATTGATTCTACTTCATTCTGTAGAACAAGCAGAAACTTTTACATAAGACAAACTAGATTTCAACATCTAACTTTACACTGTGACTTTGTTGCATAAATTCTTTGAGACTCACTTTCTGAACTACAAAATGAGAGCATTATGACAGTCCTCAAAGTGTAGCATGGAGTTTAAAAAGGGATAGTGCACATTCCTAGCACAGGGGTAGGAGTAGTATAAAACAGTATAGGTGTTAATGTTAATGCTTTTTTCTCCTCTTTTTTCCATTCCTGGAATATTTTGGCTAACTGGAGATTAGTGAGCAAATATGAAGAAGTTACTGGAATAAATTGGCTCTACTAAAAGACTCATCTACATTGCAGGCAATAGTTATACATTTTCAAAGTAACATTCAATAAGATCAAAACATTGGTTTTAAAAATGTATTTACATTTTACAACTCATATGCAAGAAAATTTTAACGGCAATGATTTAAGAAAAAAAGGAGATAAGCTACATTTGTGTGTATAATTTTGTAAAACTGAAAGAATATACCCAATTGTATTAAATGTCATATGCTCATGGACAGATAACAGAAACAAAGCTACTTCATACAGTAATCTATATTGACATCAAAATGGGGTTTCTCTAAAGGAAAGAGCCTTTCTTTAATGGTATTGATCATAATTAGAAGTTCTCATTATTTGTCCATGAAATCTAAGGAAGGTGCTATTTCAAATGGAATTCTTGTAGAACTTGGCACATAAATTTTAAATTTTCAAACACCTATTGTTTTTCACCACTTGTAGTTTCACTCGCTCAGACAATCACACATCTACATACATTAATTTTAAAACACACATGCCTTTAAAGCAGAAAATTCATCCTAAAATTATGTTTTCTACAAAAGAAAAGCAGGTCATCATATTTATATCTAATGCTTCAGTCATGGAAATGGATTTTCTCCACAGAGCTGTTTATTAACATACACTATTATGTTCAACATTTCAATGTTCCAATGAACACTATTATGTTCATGTGTAGGAGAATCTGTATGATCATGTGCAAGAATTCTAAGGCATTATATGTAGTTGTTCCACAGGACAAGTGCTGCCCTTGCAATGATATACTCGATATATTTAAGAAGTCTTCAGTCTTCAAATGCCACTAGCCATAGGGAGACATTCGTAGTCTACAGGTGGGTTGGCTCAAAGGTCAAAAACCTGATTTAAAAAATGTTTATGGAATAGCACCATAAGAAGTCTTTCAGAAACAAATCTTTTTTTTTTTTTTTTCCAGCATTGTATTTTGAAAAACTATACCCCAGGAAGAGAAAAATGAAAGCAATCTTACGGTTGTCACAAAGCCTAATTCTGCTTCATTTGATTTTTTAAAAATAGATTAACCATGACAACATCAACAATAATAGCTACAACAATAACAGATTGACAACAAAGGAAAGACAATAGCAGCAGTAGTAACTTGAGTAATGAACAATCTAGACGTCATTCAGAAGAATCATCTTCACACCTCTTCTGAGTTTTCTCATAAGGTTCATAAGACATCGTAGGCTTCTTTGATTTGGTGTGAAAAGGCAGCACTTCCAAAAAAAAAAAAGAACTAAATTTACCAATTCACTGGGCATTTTCCGAGACTTAAAGAACTGGTGTCTAGAATAGAAACTATTGACATTTCAAACTCATCAAATGTAACTACACTAAAGTGGTCTCAAGATCATTTGTGTTTCAAAGAGGTTAAGCTGGCCTACAAGTGGAAATAATCAAGCTAAAATATTCCAGTTTCCAAACACCAGACACATACATATGCATGGAAAGTACAAATCACCCTCAAAAGACTCCCATTTTCCAACACCTTATATGGATCTGGTTTACACTGTATCCAAGATAAAAGTCAAAGCAATTATCATAAGACAACCAGAATAGTGTTTTCCAGTTTATGACCTGCAAGAATACTTTATATCCCCAAATCTTGACAAATTGTCAAAAAGAACTCTGGAGGGTAACAGCTCTTGAATTGAACTGTCTGAATTGTGAGGCATCTATTTCATGCCATGAACAAAAGCTTGTAGAGTCTTCCTTGACGTAAGTGATGCCCTTTCATCAGTTTCATTAATACCATCAAGCATGGAGTTCAAATATCCTTGCAATGCTGATGAGGATTCACTGCAAACTTCTCTTTTAGTACAAAGACAATTTTGGTCTTACAGGGATTTTTTTAGTTCAAACTCTTTATATAAAACATTTATGCCAATATCTTCAGTTTTTAAAAAATATGTCTTCTTTCCATTGTGCACATTCCTTTATGTTCTGACAGAGGTTTCGGTATTATTTTTTGGTATGTGTGGTATCTGGATATCTTATGCTTTTGTATCTTATATGAAATCCCTTCTTGTTGATTGTGTCATCAGTGTGAAAATGAATTAAAACTGCCTCTCCAATTGAATAAATCTCTTCTGGTGGCTGAGGAAAAAAACAAACAAACAAGCAAGTAAACAAGAAATAGAACAAATCACTTTTTCTTCAGTGTAATGTGTGTTTGTGAATACTTTTCTTTGGAATATAATTTAATCTTCCCAACAACATTGGAGAGTAGGTGTAATCAACTTCTTCACTTTACAGAGGAGAAAATGGGATTCAGAGAAGAAAGTGACATGCTAGAGTTCACGCAGCTAGTCAATGATGTAGTTGGGCTTTGAACACACATTACTGTTTCTACGTTCTGGACACTTTTCTCTCTAGAATTTCAGTGTTATGTTCTAAACTTTTAAGCCAAGTTCTCTTGATTTACAAATCAATAATGTGAGCTTCAGAGAGTGTATCTCTTTACACTCTCTGTAAATGTGTTTCAGCAGCTGTTCTGAAGCAGAGCCACTTCCAGAATCCAAATCTTCCATTATTTTGTGTTTTAATAATCTAAGAACCAAGAAGCATTTTGTTTCATTTCAGTTGTCATTTGCACAGGAGTTCAACAGTTTTACTTAAGCAATAGCTACTGGTAGACGTTTGAAAAACAGACTGATATCTTCATGACAAAATATGTACTGAAAAGTCTATAAATATATAAATATTAATAGAGTGAGTCCTGGGGGAAAAGCATTAAGAAAGCCTTAAATTTTTCTTTTCCTTATTTCTCATGGTGATCTCTTCTGGCCTGTACCTGGCACTCTACACCGGCACAAGTGACACTCTGCAATGGAACAATTCCCTGTAGCACTGCCTGTGTACACACGTCCAGTGGCTGACCCTGCCACTGCCAACAAATACATTTGTTGAAAAGAGAATGTGAATTGGAATGGTGTGCATACTATTTTTTCCTTTGTGCTTTAATTCAGAAACATGACAGAATTGTCAATGGTGTGTGTAAATATATTGCTTTTAGATTAAGTATTTAAATATTTATTGCATAATAAGAAGTTAGAACATGGAAACATGACAAGAAATTATACCTACTGATTTCATCTGTTTCATCAGATATTATTCAGCCAAAATTATTACAAGTGGAGAAGTGATAAGAATAGAGACATGTTACATTTTGTCAAGTCTTTTATAATATGATGTCACTTTTTTTTTTTTTTGCAAAAACACTGCCAATTTGTAAATGTTACACGTATCCATCTCAAATCAATAGGCATCTTTAATCATGTCTAGGTTATCCTGTTGGTGGTATATTTACCCCAGATCCACAGAATCGACCAAGTCCCACAGCTGTTGAATCGGAACCATCAAAGAGCTCCACATTGTCATAGCCACAGTCTGCTTCTTCTTCCACTTCAAACGTCTGGAAGGATAATTCAAGTCGAGAGCCCCGTTCTGATACTAACAGCCATTCACAGTCAACCTGTCCTGGGTAGTTGTTATCACCAAACTGAGCATGTGAATACAGATCTCTGGGTTTTGATTCTGCTTTCAATCGGCCACCACACTCTGCCCAGGAAAGAAAAATAAAGTAAGTAAGGTCAATGAGCTTTAATCGGTTCCAATTTAAATTTCAGTGTAGCCTAACCATTGTTTAACTTCTGTTTATACTTCCAGCATGAGATATGGTTTCCATAACTGGAAAGTCAGTGTCATGGGTACTGGCCCAGGCCCTAGACATGGATGACCTGGGTTGGAATGTCAGCCCCATCACCTGCTGGCTCTGATTGGGGTAAGTGATGTCTCTGAACCATAGATTTCTCAAAGGTATTACAGATGAAAATAATACAGATGAAAATAATGGTACCAATTTTAGTGAGGTTTGAGAATTTAAAACATGACAATCACTTAGAATCTACTACCTAGCAACTCAACAATTTTTAAGATTGTTATACCTAATACTGTTTCTAGTCTCAAATAACTGTTTTCATAAAGAGGCCAGAGTATCTCAAGTTCAGTCCTAACAATTTAAGAACCCCAAATCCAAAGAAGTAAGAAATAACTTGAAAATCAACAATATACATAAAACTCCTCTGCATGTGTTTGTGTTATATAGAACTTTCTATATAGAATGGCAGTATTTTACTTAGATAGAAATATTTATCTAACTTGATGGGGTAAACCTACATGTATCATTAATTATAATTATCTTTGCAATTCTAGAACCAATCCAATGACAGTCTGTGTTTATTACAAGAAAAAATATTAAATCACATTTAATATGTTCCTCACAGCTCCTTTAAAAAAGATAAATTAATAATCATAGGCTCCACCAGTTATTATTTTTGTCACTCAAATAAATAAATAAGTGTGCATAAAACCTTTTAGCTGGTATAATTTAGAATATAAAAGGTTTCAAACACTCTTCTCAGGAACATTTTGTAGTCAGGCCCCCCAATTTTTTTTTTTTTTTTGAGACAAAGTCTCGCTCTGTCACCCAGGCTGGAGTGCAGAGGCATGTTTTGGATCACTGCAACTTCTGTTCCCCAGATTCAAGCAATTCTCCTGCCTCACCCTCCCAAGTAACTGGCACTACAAGTATGCGCTACCATGCATGGCTAATGTTTTGTAATTTTAGTAGAGAAGGGTTTCACCATGTTGGCCAGGCTGGTCTTGAACTCCTGACCTCAAGTGATTCAGCTGCCTCAGCCTCCTGAAGTGTTGGGATTACAGGCATGAGCCACTGCACCTGGCAAGAGCCCTAAAACTTTTTAATTACTGGAGATTAAATAAAGACAGAGAGGGCCTACAATGCCCCACCAACCCATGCAAGCAAGAATGGTGGTTGGGAGGGAGATAAAAGAATGGGATATGAAAGTGTCAAGAGAAAGTAGAGTCTCTTTCTGTCCTTGCTTATTAAGGATTGAAAGAGTTTCTGGGAAGCAGGAGTTTCATTGCTAAAATGAGGAACATCCCAGGGAAAATCCAATGTGGCAAGAGCTGGAGAAGCAAAACTACTGGATAGCCAAGTACAACTGTAATACTGTCATGGTAGTCTGTGACCAGATAGTTCTTAGTGAAGATGGTTAGACAGTGAAATTCTAAATTGGACTTTTCAGAATTGTATATAGTTTATCCATATTGTGGTTTGGTGATTTTTAAATAACAAAATATTTCTGCATTGTGGGTATGGGATCCCTTTCACACATGTCTGAATTCAGGTGTGTCCAAGAAAACCTATGGGCATTGCCATAAACAACTGCAAATTCAGAGACCTTTGTGTGACTAACATATGAAGGAACTTCCAGCTAGGGTTCCAATTATGAGAATGACTTCCCTACGGGGCTGTGTTATAGTGAATGTAAATATCCCTTCATCTCCCAAATGGTAGATGGGTAGCTCACAAAACCAAATGATAGAGGTGCAGCTATTACAAATGTATTTGTGTGAGGAAATATTCCTGAAAGTGGAACATCAATTTACCTTGGGATTTTACCTCCCAAGTTCCACACACTGGAAGCCAGGCATCCCTTTTCCACTACAGTACTTTTGTTCTCACAATAACTCCAATTAGTTCCCATTTCTTGTGATGGAAATCCCAGTCAAATTGCCTGTGTGCAAATCTGGCTCTGTTATTTACCACAACTTCATTTCTAAAAAGAGAATCATAAATAGTACTCACACCATAGGGTCCAGATGAAGAGTGTATAGGTTAATATATGAAAAATGCTTGAAAGGTGCCTGGCATGGTAAAACCCATGTAAATGTGAGCTACCATTATTATTGTTATTATTTCCCTATGAGTACATGTAAATGCCATCATCTGTACTCTAGGATCCATTCAGGTATGAAATGAAAAATCAGGAAAATTGAACAACAATTTAAAGCACTATTAATCTGCTATTAGAAAGGAAAAATTCTATTTTTGAAAGCTAGTAAAATATTTTATGAAAAATATTTCTGAATTCAACATATAAATATGTAAATCAGTGTAATGTCATTTATAGACTGTTTAAAAAATTCTACTTATTCTCCAATTTTGAGAATTGACTGATATGTTTTGTTTTCAGCTTTAAAGTAAGCCTCCAGCACTTGCATTACTTTCATTCCACAGCCCAGGAAGTGCTGAGGGGAGGACCCAGGGGTCTGGTGCAGGAACTCTTTTGCGTGCCTGCCTCAGAGATACAGCAAGGTCGCAACACAAAGACCAGGATCCACAAGAAGCAAGCCTCTGCCAGCCACAGCTTGGAACAGAAATCAAGGAGAAACTGAAGAAATTAAACGGAACAGGAAAAGTAACTTTACAGAGGCTTTGTAAATCTGAAAATCACAGAAAAGTGTCTTTATGAGACTTCATTAAAAATCAGAAAAACTGCCTACATTTAAAAACAAATGTCTTAAATTGCATTTAAGGATAACAAAAAGTTCCCCCCATTTTTGCTTCCTTTTTCGTGTATCTGTTGCAATGCACACCCTCATTCTTACAGATCACCACTCAAACCAGTAAACCAGAAATTAATGTTCTAACCATCAGACACACACACACACACACACACACACACACACACACACACACACACACACAATGACAGAATTTAGTCCACAGGACGAATTTGTAAAGAATGAAATGAATATTTGAATACTATATGCAGAAGAGGTGTGATTTTGTTAAACTGCAGTTACTGTTGCACCAACCTATAATATGCCCTGAGAGAAATTCCAGAATAAAATAAGTAACCTGAGGGCAATTTGCTTCTGAGTGTTTTCCAGAATCCTCCTGGCCATTCAAGCAGTGATCATTTATTATTTATCTATTATAATAGATCACTTTAAAAGATGACTTCTAAATACAGTGAAAACATTTTCATCAAATCTACCTATTTATTTACCAAGTCAGAAAAATATAAAACCAGTATTTAGTATATTGAACATACCATTTTTACATCAACTAAGGAACAGCTGCCCGAGTTTCCTGTAGAATTCTAAGAAATGGAAAATGAAACTGAATAAGAAAGGTAACAAGAAGGGAAGAGAAGCCCAGGGTGAACTTCATGTTAATTTGGAAAGACAAGTTTGTTTATTGCCTGGTAAAGTATTAAACTCCAGGAGAAATCTTGTAATTTGACTTATAAATGCTTTAGTGAGCACTCTAATTTAATTGATTTAGGTAAAAATAATTTCCTTTCCAAGGAGTTTCATATTTTATTTTTAAATGTCATTGACAAAGAGTATGATGTTTTATATTACAAAAAAGAAGTCCCAAGAGACAATGTGATGAATTTTTAAATTATTTTCTCTCCATGTTTCTCCTTTTTTTTTTTTTTTTTTTTTTTCTGTTTTGCAGCCATATCTTCTTAGAAAAAACACAGGACTTTTTTTCTACTAAAGATGTGTTTCCTTTAATTAACTAATTTCAGGCTGGAGTACTACCATTTGTTTCCTTATTAAAATAAATTTGGAATTAGAATTTGAACAAACTGTCAGAGGAAAAAAGAACTCTTTTCAATTAAGTCCATTTTCCATGGACTTTTTTTTACTTGTAAAGAAAAGCAGCCATCATTATACATTACAACATTTCTAATCACCATGTTTTAAAATTCATAGTGTTAGAAATTTTTCTTGTGGATACAACTAAAATTGTATACAGAAATATAAATTTACCTAAGCAAATTAAACTATATACTTAAGAATACATCAAAAATAGCCATCCATATTCTAGAAGACAGTAAATAATAAATAAATGCTTTATATGTGTAGCAAAAGCTGACAGATATGGTACTGGACTTGGCCATTTTGTCAGCAGAAATTAAAAGATAAACTGAACATCACAAGTTCAACTTCTCAGACTGTAAGCTGTCAATAGGCAGGAATTCCTTCCCTTGTCTTAAAAATTCCCATGCGTTTACATTGTCCAAAACAGATGCAAAATATATATTTGATGAAATAGTAGAATAAATGAACCTGTTAAAGAGACTTTGTGGAGAAATAAAAGCAGACATAGAGAAGAATATTTGAGCATGTATGACTACTAGACAGTAATGGAAATAAAAGTCCACTCAGAAAAATTCCAACATAGCTGATAAAACAGACAAATAATATCAAAAATTCTCAGAATAATAAACGAACAGGAGTTGGGAAGCAGGGACTCTAACTTCAACTGTTACTAGCTTCTTGTGCTATTTCAGTTACCATTAAACTTTTAGCCTCAAATTTCTCATTTCTGAAATTACAGGGCAGGATTAAAGAATATCCAAAGCACGTTTTGCCTGACAAATTGTGATTGGAGTTCCCCACATGGGTATCTAAGTGGTTGTGAATAAAACAGGGAAATAAAATGAGCCTGGTCATTTATATACTTTGAAGAGATTTGCTTAATATTTCTATTAAGAAGCATTCAGTCTTCACCTAGTAATGATAGTTGTATACTCATTTTCTTCCTAATCCAAAAGTTTTACATGAGAAAACATTATTACAGTAGGAAGTACAGTAACTTTGGAAACAATCAGAATAAAATAAAATCCAGGCTTTGACACTATAATATATCTATGCCATACGGTTCTTTTGAGGAT